TCTTCGTTCTGGTGATCTTCCTCTATAACTTGAGTTATATGGTGATTGATTTCTTGTATAATTTGTATTGTTCGGGAGTGGTTTTCCTGAACTGTTGTTGCTGTACACAGTTTGTTCGGTAGATTTTGATCTTTTTTCATGTATTGATAGAATGATTTATTTGGTTCTTTATATTTTTGAGGTTTATTTTGATTGTCTTGCTGTTTTTGTCTACATTCAGAAATACTATGTCCGTATCGTCGGCAATAATTACACCATTTTTTGAAAGATGGTTTGCCTTTAAAGTTTGGGTGTTTTTCGTAAATATTGAGTATTTCAGTGATTTTTTCAACGAGGTCTGTATCTGATTCCTGTATGTTGTTGATACTTGTGGTATTTGTTTCGATTCGGTTAACATATTGTAATTTCAGATTTTCTGTTTCTTCGAGTTTCATTGTGATTTCTGCTTGTTCTAGTTTGTCTACTAGTTTTCGAAAATCTAAATCGGGTTCTCGAATTGAAGAAGGATGGGATGCTCTCTTTTTTATTGCTATTTTCCTTAATTGTGGTGTTAAGGTCATCATTAAGATTTCTGTCATCTTTGTGTTTTTATAGTCGTGTGTATTTAATGAATATGCTTTTCGAACTAGTGTTTCGATTCGTACCGCTAATTGCTTGATGGTTTCATTTGGTAATCTGCGAATTTCGTTACATAAAACTCTTTGTTGTTTTTTGTTTCTTTCGGAGTCAAACATTTTTGAAAATTCTTGTGTAAACCTTTTCCAATTTGATTTTATTTCTATAGGCAATACTGAAAACCATTTTTGGGCTGCGCCGTCTAAAGTTGTTTGTATCAACGCTGTGCGTCGATGTATCCAGTTTTGATGTAGTGGCGTATTAATTGGTTCAGGTCCTATATTTAAAATCAAATTTGCTGTTACTGCATTTAAATAGTCTTCTACAGAATATTCAGGGTCTGTTCCTGTGAATACCATTAAAGGTTTATTTGATGTTATTGATGATCCACCCATAAGGTATGGATTCATTGTCATTTGTAATGATTCTGCTGCATTTGGCATTTGAGAAAAATTTGAAAGTTGATTTCTTGTTATTTCGTGTTGTTGAAGATAATATGGGAGTGGTATTTCATTTTGCATTTGTGTTGGTTGATACGAGTGTGCAATCATTGGGTTTTGTTGCTGAATTGGTTGAAAAGATTGTGTATTAATTGGGTTTTGTTGCTGAATTGGTTGTTGATTTTGTGTATCTATTGGTTGTGGAGAAAAAATTCTATGATTTGTATGTGGTTTCTGTACTCTTTGTCCACGATATTCTTGATTATAGGGTGCAAATATATCTGGTTGTAAGAAATCATCATCTGAGGATAAGTAATCCATTTGATAAGATGTTTGTTTTTTATTTTTATTTTGTTGAAAAAATGGATAATTTTCACTATGATCCTGTGAAGGATGTAAATTTGTTTGAAAATTTACTGAATTAGTTTGTGCTATTGGGTTATCCCAGTTTCGAGGTCTTGTATAATTACTAAAATTTTTTCGTGGTTGATAATTTGTTTTTGATGGATGTGTGTAATTATAATTATGGTCTGCAAAATTGTTTTTAGTGAACGTTTTGCGTGTTTTTGACGGTATTGTCATGGGTCTGTATGTTTGGTAATCCATGTGTGAATATTTTGGGGCAACCGAAGGTTTAACGGTTGATTGTAAGGTTACCTGTGTTTGTGCAGGGTTTGTATTTCTTGGTGTTGTTAAATTTGGACGTATTGGTGAAATACTTTGTTGTGTAGTTGTTGTGTGTACGATTTCTTCATTTATGAAGTGTGATGGTGTCTGGATATCTTGTTGAGTAAGATTTCTAGTTCCATTGAGGTTTTCATTGTGTATGACTGTGGAGTTTAAACTATTATTTTGCATATCGGGTAAAAATGTATTATAGTTTAATGGTGTTGCATCAATGGTTAATGGTATTACTCTTACATAATCTCTTACGTAAGATATCGTACTTATTGCTTGACTTGAGATTGATTGTGGGAAATTTATGAATGTGGAGTGAGACCATTCGGGGTCCCAAACATAGTCTGATTGTTCTGTGATGGCAGTATCATCGTTTGAGTTTTGGGGTCTAAAATTTTTTCTTGCTTGTGAAATTAAATCAATATTATGTGTGAAATAATCTATTATGAACCATGCCAAAATTTTTTGTAAGTCGTGTTTTGTATGTTGTGAAACTTCATCTTTCGTGAAATTTTCTTTAATTATATTTAGAAAACTAGAGAGTAGTGTGATTTCATGTCGTACTCTTATATGTTTCGATGTTTCTGTCGGTGAAACATTTGTGATTGGGATTTCGTTTTCTAATATCGAGATATAACTATATATTATTGCAAAAACTTCATTAGTAAATATGGAGTTTGCTCTTTGTGAGTTATGATATTGGATGCTTTTTATATATTCTGTGAATACTTTTGAAAATTCTAAATCAAGGTCGTCTGTTTGAATTATATATTTACTGTGATTCTGATTTGTTGAACTGAATTCTATAGAGTAGATTCCGTATTGTTGTGTTAGGTTACATATATCTTTTAGATAGTGATCGATAATTTGTCTTTTGATTTTTACATCTGGGAACTCTGTTTTACATGGACTGATTCCGGGTTCAAATAAATTTAAAAGTAAATTTTTGCAAAATATATGCTGTCCTCTATCAGTGGTTGCATCTACTATAAAGGGGAAGATATCATCATCATCTGGACTTTCTTCACCTGGGGTGTGTGTTGAGCTCATTTTTTCGTTTGATGACTGTTAATATATAATTATCAATGTGTCTAATTGGTTGATTCCAATTGTATAAATGTACTGGTTTGTGTTTATATTGCTTTTTTATTCTTCTTTTTCCTCTTTTTGATGAATTTGAAGTTGTTTCTGAGTCGGAAAAATATAATTGATCGTGAATGGGGCAATTTTTATCTATAGATTCTTTTAATTTATAAAGTTCGTCTAAACTGTTGGTTTCTGATTCTGAAAATGCGTTGCGGTTTTTGGAAAATCTTTTTCGTGTAATTTGTCTTTGTTTGGTTATTATTTTTCTTTTTAATGTTTGTCGTTTTGTTCTGATATATCCAACTGTTTGTGTATGAGGTGTGATTACAAGATCGTATTTTTTGTTATCTATTTCACAATTGTGTAAAACGATTGTTTGTTTATTTCCTAGGTTTTTAAATGACATAAGGCTTAGGATGACGGATGCAAAAGGTTGTTAAATGATTTCTATTACTTAGACTGTTAGTCCTTACGATTTTTTGGTTAGCCTAACCTGGGTCTATTTGTTCAGGGTTGGAGAGAAAAGTATATCGATTCCGAAGAATGATTTTATACTTTCTCGTGGCTAGTATAAGCTAAGGTGTTAACTTACTTAATCTTACTTAAGGGTAGTGATTGTGTTCAGGGTTGGAGAATAGTAAATCGATCCACAAGGTTCAGGTATAATTAGAACGCGAGTAGTTCGTTAGATACTATTTTAAACTTACTAAGTCTAAGATTTATCCTGGGTCTGGTAAGAGGGGGGATCAAGTGAAGGATGAATAACCGAAGTTCTTCACTGTTTATCCTAATTTGAATGATTAGTTTTGTTTAAAAAATTTCTATTAGTCCTGGGTTTTTTAGAAAGGGTTGGATAGTGAATCGACGTTTGAGGTCGTTAGACACTAGCTAAGTGGGTGGGGGAGAACAAAATTGTTCTTTTTGATCCAAGGAGAGGCCTTGATGATCAAGTTTTAAATTTTATTAAGTAGAAAATGATTTAAGATCCAAGGATAAGCCTTGATGATCTGATTTTAAATTTAAGTGAATTTAAGTTTAAAATGATTTAAATTTGTGTAGAGAAAAGATTTAGTGTTTTTATGATATTAGTGAGCTTATTAATGCTGTTATGTTTAGGTGATGAAGCTGGAACAACAGGATGATTTATAATTACTAACCATTTATTGTCATGCTACTAATTTTTATTTTGATTTTCCAATAAATATTTTTCAAACATGTTTTGTATATTACTGCAGAATTTAGGAAAACGATCTGAGATCTCTTTATCCATCGTTATTGTATATTAATAATTTTGTTTAGCGCCTGAAATGATTTTGAAGATTGACTTCAAAATTTTATGTTTGCAAATGAAAATCTAAATTCATTGCTAGTAGTATTCTAAATACAAAAGTTTGTGTTGGCTTTTGCCGAACTACCATATAACTATATGGTATGTTTCTACTTTGTCGTATGTCGTCTCTGTTTCGAGGTCTTCTTGCAATTCCGGGTAGTTCTCTTATCGTTCGGAATATTGGTTTTGATCTATTGAGTCGTAGAGACATTTCGATTAAATTATCGTCGTATAATAACATTTTGAAAATGTTTTGTCTAATTTCTAATCTAATTTTGATTAATTCTAAGCTATTAAGGTCTTATTCGAGACTTATGGTCGCACCAGATGAGTTATGACCGAAGTGTATAACTCATAGAGTAATTTCGGATAGGGTACACCGTCTGCTCGTCACGCTATCTTATTTTCGGCCGGATAGATTCGTGCAACTTCTTAGTCTAATACCAATCCTAATCTTACTCTTATACTATCTAGTCTCAGGTTGTTTAACTAGTCTCTGCTAGGCTCAATAGATCTAGGGTATACTGGTTTATTGCGGTTGCTGAAGTCTTCTTGGAGAGTCAACTAATTTCTAAGTTAAATTCAAATCTCTCTGGTGCTGAAATTACAAGTAATTTCAGCACTTACAAATAAGTGGATTGTTAGTTAGATGGATCATGATTGGTTAATATTAAATACTTTACATTGGTAAAATATCTAATTTATCCAATCATAAAATGTAGTTTAGATCAGGTTCCAATAGCGTTAAATTATCAACACTTGTAGCGGAAAAAAAACGTTTGATGGTTAATTCGTGTCTTCTTTTCATTCATTGACACTTAAATTGATTACAATAAATATTCAGCACTAACCAGAGTAAACTGCTCTTCCTGTGTTACTCGCCTCCGACAGTGGCGACTGGCTACTTCCTTAAATACAAAGGAGAATAATTTATTCCATATTTTACATGACCGTCTTCTCAGCACAAAGCTTGTCACAAACGGCTCAAAAAACGGAGGCCTCAAAAACGCCTGCCCATGATAGTGGTCATATAAGAAAACTGGCCCCGATTTTAGTCTTGATTCAGATATCAAAATAGCATTTCAAAAAATGTGTTTCGAAAAAAATGACAGTTTGTTGAATTGATGATCGCTTGCCTGTCCGTCTGGGTTGTAGAGGTATGTCACGTATTCCTCCCCTACCGGCCACTGTTGCACGTCCTCGGCTATTAAATTTTCGGGCGGCTCACTCACCGCTGCCTCGCTACAACAACTATGTACCTAACAACACAACATACATTTGGGTCAGAAAATTATCAATCAATGCCTTGAAATTGATGTCGCACATGAGTAACGTAATCGATCATCATATTTCAAGAGAAGAGACTATTCGCTCAGAAGACTGGATCGAAGTATCTTTTATGTAATGTGTCGTGAAAAAAGTCGAACAAATTTAAGAATTTATTTCATAAAAAAACACTTAATTCGTCTCATGCCTTCAGTAGAGACGTCTGATGTTAAACTCACGGTGGTGATTGCATTCGGAAGGATTGTAATCTCTCCCGGGAAGTAGAAGCTGGCTATAGTCTCTCCCATCACCCTCCGGACCTCATAGTTCTCCAAGACGATCTCCTGTAATATCATTGCAGCTTATTGTAGAATAGTCAGTGGTATACAATTTAATAACAAAAGAGAAAATTCAATTTGAGAAACACTGTGGAGAAACACAACCTCTAGCATTCTAGCATTAAAACATAGCCAACTGGCAGTTGGAAAAGAGTAATAAACACAAGGAAACAGAAAAAAAAACAAAGACTTGTTGTTTTTTTTTTCAAAAATCTTCAACTTTTGAATTTCGAAGAAAAAAATAGATGCCCTTCAAGGTCTTTGAATTGTTAAAACAATTTAGGATGGACACTTTTTGTTAAAACTAACCCAATTTGAGAAAACTGGCTCAATAGGCAAAATTTTACAACTCCAGACCTTCCGGTCCTAAGGCACCTCTAGACCAAGTGACAATGATCTTGGAAGTTGTTAAGTTCAATAATAAAGCAAGTTCATTTTCTTACAGGTGTTTTACAAATGTTGTTTAGGAAAAATCTAGTTCCTGATTAACTAAAGTCAATTACTCTCGCAAATAAAATGAACATAGCTGACAAAAAATTGGACAAGAGTCAGCGATCCAAACGAAACTGGAACATGTTTCAACTTTGAATTTCAAGAAAATTTTCTGACTAACACTTTTTCCAAAAAAACTCACACACTAAGATGACACTGGGCAGGTAATTTTTTATTCCGCTGGGAAATTATACTTGCTTAAAAATATTCAAAACATTATGTTCAACTGCATGTGGACAATATTTTTGTTCAAATACTTATTTTGTGCTGAAACTTTTTCATATAATTTTTAATTTAAATTTAAATAGTTTTTCATTAAATATAGATACCTGATTGCAGTGCTAATACTTTACATATAACCGAAGAAGTAACGTATAATTTTTTCATAATATGTACGTTTTGTTTACGTGATTTTCTATAACTTGCAGACACCGGAGACTTTTCTTAATTTCTTTTGCTATAATGAGTAATAGATTAGTGCCATACCTGCGCTGTATGGTTTTGCAAGGCTACCAGATGTCCACGTGGATCTGCCTCTATGATTTCTAATCCGATCAGTTTAGTGGACTGTACCACTTCGCTTGTAAAAAACTCGTCCGTTCTCATCTTCCGGCGCTTACTTCTGGTAGAGGTACCTTCTCCTGCCTCGTCACGCCTGCTGCGTTTGCGCCCAGGAGATGGAGAGATGTTCATTCTACACACAAATTTAGGAAACAAACATTCGAAATCCCCAGTCTTACAGTTTTCATAACAGCAGTTATTGCAAAACGATTTCAAACGGCGAAAAATCGCCCAACAAAGGATCACTCTAAACGATGTTTAGGTATAGCTTACCCATAACTCCTAAAAACTCAATCCAGTTTTGAAACTTTGGCAGTACAACAACACTGATGTCAAATAAAGCATATAAATTCAGATCTACAATGGTTAATCAGTTGAAGTAGTATTTTATACAGAGGATCAAATATCTTCAAAATTTAATCAAAAACATTCTTCTATTTCCAAATTAATGATCGATCAAATGCGATCAAGAACAAACTAATTTATAAATAACAACGCACCTCTGTTCCTCGCTCTCCAACATCTTCCTATATGCAGAGATCTCTAGGTCCAAACTGAGCTTCTCGTCTAGAAGATTCTGATACTCGTCGCACTGCTTCGTGAGAATGTCCTTCAGCTTGTCCAACTCATCCTTCTTCTCATTCTCTCTATCCTGCATTCTGGCTTTCATATCTTTCTTTTCCTGTTCCAGCTCTCCTACTCTGGCGTCTCTGTCTCGTAGCTAGAACAAACATTGCACTTTCTCTGTTCACCAACAACAGCAACACGATTCATAAATCTTTCCTTCTCGATTGAAAACATTAAAGACAGCCATCAGGCAGTTGGCAAAGGGCTCACGAACTCAAAATTAAAAAAAAAAAATCAAAAAAACGGCCAAATGGATTACATCGATCTCCCCCACGGAAGTAAGGCCCAAGATGAACAAACGCAAAAAGGGGCCGGGGCAAAAAAAGAACAAGGAAACCCAAAAAAAGTTGATTGAAAAGTTTCAATTTTCGAAGAAAAAATATATCACCCTGAAGCTCTTTGAATTTTAAATACTGTTAATAATTTGATCTTTTTTGCAAGTTTACCAAATTAAGATCAATACAATAGTTATTTTGTTTTCATTTTGGCAATTCTAGAAAGTTGAAGCCCAGTTTGAAACTTGAAGTCATTCATGTTTTTCGTGACCTTTTTACAATTTTGCTGTCCGATAGCGGAGTTTGCCTTTATTTAACAAAGGAAAGACAATAAAAGGAGCTTATAAGGAAATCAGAAGTCGAACCGCAAAAAAATCAAATCTCGGCGTGAGCAAATTTTTCTTAAGAAAAAACATCAGGACCAACAGGGGCGGATCTAGGATTTTCTCTAGGGGGGGGTGGGTTTCAAAAAATTTTTACAAGCTTTTTTTCTAGGTCAACCAAATTGATTTTCCTAGCTCTCTTAAAGCACTTTTTGGGCTTTTTTTGGAAAAAATTTCGCTTTGACGCACCGTTTTACAAGCGAATACATGTTTTTATGCACCATTGAAACCAATCTACTCACCAAGTCGTTGAGCTTCAGTACTTCATTGTGCAAGCTGGCGATCTCGTGCTGCAGGTCTATCAGAAGCTGTGTCTTCTGAATTAGTTCTCGGTCTCTCTCCTTGTTCTGTTCCTTCATATTTGCAACCTTATCAGAAATATTCCAGTGAAAAAAGCTCATAAAGCGACGATAGAAGATGCGAAACGAATTGCTATTTCCAGAAAAGTGCAAGAAACACATATTAGAAAAATTGCAACTGCGAATTTCATTATTGTAGCGTACATTATTTTAGCGTCTGACCTACCAAAGACAGGTTAAAAATATGACCAACAGAAAGTTGCGATAGTGTCAATGAGCATGGGTAAAACCACACTGATTATTTCTGAACCCAAATAAACCGGACACAATTTATGATTAACATTTTTTTGATTGAATCCACCTAAATTGAGAAAACTGCACGAATAAGTAAACATAATATTCCGTTGGGAAATTTACTAATTTGAGTGCTTTTTCTTCACTAAAAGTTGTTCAAGTTTTTTTTTGCGCCGATTTCGCTTTCGTAATAAAAGAGGTGACTTGCCCTCTGTAACAAATGAATTTGAATTCAACTTAAAAGAAATTTAAAAAAGCTGCGACAGAACAAACTTGGTGTGGACAAACTTTCGACTTTTTTGAACAAAAATTATTACGACCTATGTAAATGTCTACACTATGTTCATTAATTTATTAATACTACAACACAATTCTTATCTGTTTGATAATTTTTAGAATATGTTTCACTGATGCGGGAATGCAGAATGCTTGAAATTTCAAGATTTGGGTTTTACTAAAAACCTTAATGGCTTCTCGACTAACTACAGAGATTAGCCGCTTTTCTAGAGAAGATTTGAAATACCCGTCGTTCAAAATAAATTCGATGTCAGATTTGGCAGGGCAGGTTTCACCAAGAGTTTAACCAAGAAAATTTTTCAACTCTGTTCTTTTCATTGAAAGATTACCTTTAGAGCTATCGGTACATTTATTGAGAACATAGCCTACCGAAGATTGGAAAAGAGTAATGAACGCAAGTGAACATAAAAAAAAAACACTCAACTTTCTTGAAAAAATTTTCGAATTTTAAAGAAAAAACAGATGCCCTTTAAGCTCTTTGAATTTCTAGAACAATTTATGATCGTCGCTTTTTTGATAAGATGAACCCAACTTGAGAAAACTGGATCGATAGGTAAAATTTTTATTTCGCTGAGAAATCTTCAAAATAAATTCCACTTTCGAAAATAGAAATCATTCATTTTTTTCGAGCCATTTCCACGTTCGTATTTGGATAGTCCTATTTACGTCACTTTCATCAGATGAATTTCAATTGAACTCAAAAAAAGCATATATACCTAAGTGCATTCTCAAATGCATCAATATGTATGAATGCACATCTGTAGTTATTAGAGACTTTTCCTAAAAAAACGGCAAGACCTATATAAGATTCTTCACTACGTTGATTACTCTTAAAAAGAAAAAGCATCTTAAACGATCCAAACTTTGACTTTGCCAGTCAGTTCATAACAGTTTTTCTACAAAAATAAGGGCGTAACTGCTTCTGCAGAAAAAAATTCTCACAACCCGTTCTATCGATTGAACTCGTAGCTGAGGAGCCACTTATGCATGTAAGATTGCCGTAACCAGTTTTTTGATTGAGCTCAAACCTCAGGGTAATTTTCCAGGTGCGATACAACACATAGTATTTGCGATACAACACATATATAGCATGACAAACTAACCGATAGACAAAATGTAACAAGAAGTCAGAAACTTGAATAACAAACTAGCATCAAAATGCAAATTACAATGTGGTAAAAAAGCCGACCATTCTTCAGGATACACACGTTGCGTCGAAAAAAACTAATGCTTTTATTGGAACATTTGGAAAAAAATAATTAAGTCTCGCCTCAAAACATTTAGATAATTTTTTTTCTCAAAAAGAGGTCTGTTAGCTGAGCTGATTTATTATAAGCTGAGGCCTTTCAAGCCGAGTAAAGAAAAAATGAAAGAACGACTTATATACTGAAATCGGAGTTCGTAAACTTAAAAAACAAAATTTGAATAAAACCAGAATTTGAAATGCAGACATGCTCAAATTGAATGAATTTAAATGAAGACAAGCTCAAACTTAAAATGAAGGGTCTCTTCATTCACGGAAGTACAGATGGAGATGACCACCATTTTCAGTCATCCTGTGACCTAAGCTTTTTATGGGGAAAACTTCTAGAACTCGATTGCAACACCCTAGCTTATCGCAAGAGTAATGAAAGAATCACTTTCAAATTAAAGTAACAAAACAAAAAACTCGTTGAAAATCAGGAATCTTTTAAATCTTTTTTTTTTTCAAAAAATCTAACCCAATAGGAGAAAACTCGATATCCGTTGTTATATCCGTTTGTAAAACTAAAACAGATACTTTTCTTTTTTTTGTGCTACAAGCTTTCTTATCGTAGGTGTAAAGCGCTAACTCCTTTTTATTCGGCTATTTTATCCAAAGACAATTTATAAAAAAGTCAAACCACCATAAACTAAAGTTGAACCTGAGCAAAGTTTAACTTTTCCAGAAAAAAACATCACTCAACTTTGACGGTTATTGGGGTTTGAAAACAGAAAACGAGGACAAAGGCCATCAAGTCAACAAATTTCTTTGCCAAATGACGGAAATGATCATCCAAAATGTTAAATTAATAATTCTTCGGAAGACGCCTATTTTCGAACATTTTTTAAAGCTAGAAAACCCCGACCAAGCAAGTGCCCCGAAATCAAAGCACACTCACTTAAAAGATTTTTCACAATTCCAACGTTGCGATATGAAGCAACGGTGCCGGTTTGGCATATATCGAAACTATTGAAAGCGAATTAGTCTCTTATTTGACAACAAAAACTGAAAATACAGCCAACAGAGAGTTGAACAGAAGTCATGACCGCTAGCAAACAGAAAAAACTACCTGTTTTTTGAGAAAAACTTGAACTTTCAAATTTCAAAGAAAAAAATATGGCCTTGAAGCTCTTTGAATTTCTAGAACAATTTATGATTGACACTTTTTTGATAAAACTAACCTAATTTGACTAAACCGGATCAATAGTTAGAAAATATTTTCATTTCGTTGGGAAATTCGATGATTAAATTCCACTTTCGAAATTAGAAGTCAATCACGCTTTTCTTCGAAAAAAATCATAAAAAACTGGCATTAAATATGCAACATGCTGAAAACATGTCTTTAGCTTGACAAAAACCGAAAAAAATATTACTTCAATTTTTTGATGCTTTTTATCGGGCCTTCGGTTTTTTTACATGCAGAGCTTTGCCCTGGTACGGTCAGACATATATCCGTTTTCTATTTTCAGATCTGTTAAATCACAGTTCTTTCAGCGAAAAAAAAACGCATGAATGAGAAATGTAATGCCAGCCTTTTGATGGTATAACTCCTCCTTCTCCCTGATGTAGTCGTCTATTCTGTCCTCGTGTTGCATTCGGATGTCCTGCAGGAGTTGCTGCACCCTCGCATCTGTCTCCAGGTTCTTCCTCCTTTCTATCTCCTCGATCTCCGTCACCTTCACGTGCGTCCTCTCTTGCAACGTCTAAACTTCACTTTATCCACTCAAAAATGATTCTTTTCAATTAATCTTCTAATAAAATGCAATTAGGAAACTACTGTCCCCTCTTAAAAGTATCACTCAATTTTATTTATAGTGACTACTTTAATTAGTTTCAAGACCTTCTTTCATCATGAGCCCTTCATTACCTTATGACAATTTAAAACAGTTTTTCGATTTAAAACTCAAATGTGGGATGTAAAAAAGCTCTCTATCACTTGGTTCTTCCTGACTGAATATTTTTTGTTAAGTTTCGCTATTGAACTATCAAATCAATTGATTTAAACTTAATTGAAAACAGACCTGCTCGAATATGTTCTTCTCAAATGACACTTTTTTGTTGAGGGACTCTAGCCGGGCTTCTGCCTCAGTTCGTCTATTCACTTCAAACTCTAGTTGGTCTCTAAAACACAAAACATTGATCAAAATATCACGAGCAATTTTTGTTCTTAAAAGGCGTTAGCAATATCAAATACTGATTTTAACAACAAAAAACGGCCAAACTTCGGAAACAAGGATTTGCTCACTCTAATCTGATCGATTCTTTGAAAAACAGACCAATTAACTTCAGGAAAACAAAGGCAGAAAGAAAAATGAGAATTTTCTTTCACTTACTGGGCAGATTTCAACTGTTTTTTCAACTCATCCAGCGTTCGCACAAGGTCGGCTAGCTCGTTTGTCAATACATCAATGTCCTTGTTTGCCTTAAAAGTAGCTGACTCAGCGTCGGCCAAATCTTTCTTCAAGTCTTGGTTTTCATTCTTGAGATCCTCATTAGATGCCTCTAGGTCTTTCAATCTGTAAAGCATAATAATAAGCACATAGAACAACATTACATTGAGCTCTAACATTACTTTGAGATCCAACACACGTTTTCTACTTATTTATTATTCCGAAACATCATGTCTAGATTTCGAAAATAAAATGCCGTCGCGTTGAACTTTCCAGTTCGCAGTATAAACCGGAACAAACTCCAACTTCTTCAAGTTTAACTTCTTTTAACATGCTAAATTAGTCAAATGAGTGATATTTGGATTTTATTAGAAAAGGTGAACAATTGTGTTCACGATAAAGGAAATTTTGCCATACAAAGATTAATTTCATAATAAAACTATTTTAAAAGTTGTTAAAAAAATTAAAACCGAAATTGAAACAGGAAAAGGCCATTCTAGCATATTTTGTTACCTAGGTGTAACTTCTTGGAGCTTCGCTTTCATTTTGTCGTTTTCAGTTTTGAAGAAGGCTTTCTCTGTGACCAGGCTCTCATTCTCTGTTCGCAATGTGACTAATTCCTCTTCGAACAACTGACGCACTTGAGTGCGCTCATGCGTTGTCGACTGCTCACTACGCGAAATTTTAATCTAAACACAAACTCAAGCTAATACGTCTCAACTCAAGCTCATAACAAGACCAAATATGTTTGTCATGGCCTAATTAGTCCGCATGCCAACTTTGAAGGTGAACTGAAATTTAATTTTACTGTTAAAAATTTGCAAATGGGGCGGGGAAGGAAAAAGAGCCAAAAATTGATTTCTTTCTGTTCTCTTGAATAGGCAATTAAAACTGAATTAACGGTTCATGAAAAAGATTTGGAAAACCTGCAAAAAAAAAACAATTTTCATAATAATCGGAATATAAAAACAAAAGTTTTACATGTAAAAACTTTTTTGCAGGTGGGAAGGATAAAGGGCTCCGCTCCATTTTGAAGTAATTTGTGCATAAATCATACTTAAACATATCAGTGCAAAAAAAAATTGAATTCATTTAACAAAAAGTCTTTTGATATTTAAAACTGCAATAAATTGTTAAAGCGTGAATGAGTGAACTAATTTTTAAAACCATATTTACATGCAAATTGCCGTAGGCATAAGTTTTCAATAATTTTATATTGTAAACTTATATAAAAAATTTTCCACCGGCTTTTTTCCACTGTCTACCTCATTCGAATATTAGTTTTGAAAAACTAATTTTACGTGGTCATAATACAACAAAATTTTGCATGGTGAACAACTTACTTACTGTGAGCAAAGTTGTTCTTCATATCTTAGATCGTAAAATCACGCATTCAGCCACAATAACAAGAAAGACAACTGAGAAAATTTGAAATGTCAATTTCCGAGGCCAATTTCCGGGTCTTTTTCTGGTTCTTTTCCACAGAACCACCCCCCCCCCCCCCCGTTCTTTCTGTTCTCAGTAGAACGCATAGCGAGAAAAACCAAGGTCGTAACTAATGAAATTTTTGGTGAACGAAGAACCGTGTGTGAAAATGTCAAAAGCTGAAAGATCGAAACCAAGCTCACAAGTTTTTCAGGCGCAGTTTTAAAATTGATTTATTAATAATTTGATTTTGTGTATTTTATGACATTAAATTCTGCTTTTAAATACTGAAATTTATGGCAGTTCGTTATTCTTTGTTGAACTGTTATTTCCGATAAATATGGTTAATTTACGTATGAACTGAATTGCTGCCCATCAGCCAGCTACCCGAAACCGATCTACTTCAGACCCGAAACGAGGCGGAAATAGTTTCAATTTTTCCATTTTCTTACTTGTCTTACGTGTTAATACAGTTGATTGCGTTGTTACGATATAAGGTATGAATAACAAATGTGTTCACAATAGTTACGTTCTTCACCAAGAAAAAATTTCGTAGCTTTATGACAACGTAAAGTTAGTTTTTCAAAACTGAATTCGAATGTGAGGGGGAGTGGAAAACAGCCTCCGTAAACTTCAAAAATAATTGCAGTTTAGAACCTCAAATGTCAATTGTATTTTGAATTTCAAAAAAAAAAATTAAAGAGGGTACTGGAAAAGAGGCAAACCCTTCGTTATACCATAAAATTGAAACTTATGCGAGATGAGGGAATGATAAAGATGCCTTTTTTCTCACATGCCGAAAGAGGTACGAACAACTTCAGGTATTTTCATATTATAACTTAACAAGGGTGGAGAAAATCGCCCAATTTTTTCTCCTACCAGATACAAGCACCAATTTCAAGGCGTATTTATTTTATATCCGAGGAGGGGGGCTGAAAAAGCGCACATGTTCAAATTTTAGTTTTAGGAGGACGGGTGGGTCGGGAATGTAAAGTGGTTTACAGCCTAGTCTCTTTTCCACTTTCCCCCCACATTTCAAATTTTCCATTTTATAGTTGTTTTACGTGCTATAACGGCTAAATGCGTGATATTACGATGTGTAGTATGAAGAAAAAATCAGTTCACAATCGTTAGTTTGTTCACCAAGCAAAATTTCATTGCATTATGACAACGTTAAAATAGTTTATAAATTTAAATGGGGGGGGGGGGGGAGTGGAAAAGAGCCATATCCTATTTGCCTTTAGACAAGTTGAAACCTTCAATGCAATAGGGCAAACATTTACGGCTTTTTCCTTTTTCCCCCACTAGCGAAATTTTACTACTACAAATTTGTTCACATTATCGGATTGTTACGAAAAAATATATTTGTTCTTCATACTTAACCTTGTAAAACCCCTCGTTGCAACATAAAATTGATGCATATGTGAGGTGGGGGGTGGGGGGAGAAAAAAGGACCTAAGCCTGATCAGAAATATAATTAGACTGATCAGAAATATAATTAAATTAGATGTAGCAAATCTTTTTTGACTAAACGAGGCACTGATACAATTACCAGGTCAGACGCAAAAGCAGTTTTATACGCATAATCAATCTATAATTCATATAATGCTCAGAAACAATTTTTCCAGGCCGTAACGAAGCGATTGGAATTGACATGTACGAATTCGAACGGAGATAGGAAAAAACATTTGAAATGACCACAAGAGGCACTGCCTAATGGTCATAAAAAAAGTTGACTTGACTTGTAACGATATCACACACAAAAACGTGTCTAATCTGTAACAAGCTCACCCTAAGTGCATCATTTTCGGTTTCAAGTTTTCTGACTCTGTCAATATAGCCCGCAAGTCTCGAATTGAGGCCTTGAATCTCTTGTCTCTCCCGCATTCTCACTTCTCTCGCGGGACTGAGAGGAGACCTGCTTCGGTATTCGTAGTTTTCACTGGTGCCGGAGCCTCCCATACTCTGCAAAATAACAACCATTATAAAACTGAACTGTTTCATAGACACGGGAGCGAAAAAAAGTCTTGTATTTCTTCTGAATGTCAAAAAAATAGTAATCAATCATGGAAACTATTACTGGTCTCTCGCGACGTCCGCCTGACCGCCGCGTTGTGGATTGATGTGGTGTGCTCATTCCTTGCAATTTGTTCTTTCGGTCACAAAATAGAAGATCTGAAATAACGGGTGTTGCTTACCTTGAAAAAAAGAGGTAGCTTCCAGGCGTCCTTAAAGCATAGAAGATAAACTACTTGTAATAATCAAAAGTCAGTTTCTGGTCACACTACTGGTTTGTTTAGGCACGTGATATTTGAGCACGTGTCATTATCACGCGAATGATGACGATACCAAATCATTAACATCGCCAAACCATCAAGTGACTGTAATTAATTCATCGAACAAAAAACTCGTCTCACGCAGCGACATATTACCACATTTATAGAAGAAAATCTTACTACGAAAACTTTTATGAGATCTGTTCCAATATGGAACATTATGCAAAAAATAATGTTATGAACAACGCTCTAACATAAAAGACCATTAGAGTGAAATAATTTTTTTTTATTAACTTAACCTTGAAGATAGATGAGTGGCAGCCTACGGAGGAAAGATAACTTTGAATATATTTGGCTCTTTTTCCTTCCCCTCTCCCGAGAATCAATTTTTTGGTGCAACGAGTGGTTTTAAAAGGTTAATCATGAAGACCAAATGGGTTTGTCATGACTTAATAAATCCTCGCGTCAATTTGCGTAACAATCGAACAATGTGTACAAATATTTTAGTTGTAAAATTTCGCAGGTGAGGGAAAAAAGAGCCATACGTTCAAACTCATTTGACATCCTCAATTGCCTCACATGCTCATCAACTGTGTCTTTTAACCCAAATATAAACGTTTGTTTGAGCTAATTAAGTAGGTACACTTCATTTTAAATCTTAATTTTTAAAGATTAATGTTTTTCTTTTTCATATCGCAAGACTTTATGGAGCAAACCATAAGAAAAAAGTTTACAATAGCAGATGTTCAAAACGAAGAACGCCATCACAGCATTGTTTTTTTAATAGGAGGTCAAACCAATACGACCAACCTTTGCTTCTGTGATTGCTTTGGAAAACCGGCTCTTGTACTCAACCCCCCTCCCCCCCCAGTCATATAGATCACAGATCACTCTTACGTGAACATACTATTGGATTTACGCAATATGCAGCCAGACAAAATTTATTTAAAATTGGGTAATGATGTCACGTGTCAGTTTTCGTGAAGCGACAATTCGTAACAGTCAACTATTTGTACACAGAGGCGAAGCTGAGCTTCGCGCAACTTGCGTATCAACAATGAATGACTATGATTGAAATCGATTGAAAAAAAAACTGGCAAAAAACTTCAAGAAAGCGATTTTTGCCAAAAAAACATTGCAAAAGCCCAAAATATCCGTAACAAAATTACCGGAACCTATTACCTTTGTCGTCTCAAGCAAGTATGATACCTCTACGCCATATGCGCGGATATTTGACAGAATTTGAAGCAGAAACCATGCATTCAAAAGAAAACTTAAAAATTTAGCGTATAAAAAATTGTGTTGAAAAACGCGTGTAAAAACCATTTCATCCTGTTAGCTTCTTCGAATTGAAAAATCAACTAGCGTCTAACGCACCTCCTGTACTTCAAAGAGATTAGTGGGCATGAAAGTTACTTATACATAAAATATATATGAAAACAGCGAAATGAATGCAACCATAATAAAGGGTGGGTGAATCAAACAACGCTTTTGGTGTAACAGTCGTCCAATTAAGTCGCACATGAGGTTAAGAAAAAATGTCCCAATAACTCATATCTTAAGGGTCAGGGAAACTACTTCTTGTCTTTTTGTACCTCAATCTTAGTATCAACTCGATACTTTGTGTTTCACGATGGTGTTCAATGACGTTTAGTTGACTATGATTTTGGGCGACATATTACCACATTTATAGAAGAAAATCTTACTACGAAAACTTTTATGAGATCTGTTCCAATATGGAACATTATGCAAAAAATAATGTTATGAACAACGCTCTAACATAAAAGACCATTAGAGTGAAATAATTTTTTTTTTATTAACTTAACCTTGAAGATAGATGAGTGGCAGCCTACGGAGGAAAGATAACTTTGAATATATTTGGCTCTTTTTCCTTCCCCTCTCCCGAGAATCAATTTTTTGGTGCAACGAGTGGTTTTAAAAGGTTAATCATGAAGACCAAATGGGTTTGTCATGACTTAATAAATCCTCGCGTCAATTTGCGTAACAATCGAACAATGTGTACAAATATTTTAGTTGTAAAATTTCGCAGGTGAGGGAAAAAAGAGCCATACGTTCAAACTCATTTGACATCCTCAATTGACTCACATGCTCATCAACTGTGTCTTTTAACCCAAATATAAACGTTTGTTTGAGCTAATTAAGTAGGTACACTTCATTTTAAATCTTAATTTTTAAAGATTAATGTTTTTCTTTTTCATATCGCAAGACTTTATGGAGCAAACCATAAGAAAAAAGTTTACAATAGCAGATGTTCAAAACGAAGAACGCCATCACAGCATTGATTTTTTAATAGGAGGTCAAACCAATACGACCAACCTTTGCTTCTGTGATTGCTTTGGAAAACCGGCTCTTGTACTCAACCCCCCTCCCCCCCAGTCATATAGATCACAGATCACTCTTACGTGAACATACTATTGGATTTACGCAATATGCAGCCAGACAAAATTTATTTAAAATTGGGTAATGATGTCACGTGTCAGTTTTCGTGAAGCGACAATTCGTAACAGTCAACTATTTGTACACAGAGGAGAAGCTGAGCTTCGCGCAACTTGCGTATCAACAATGAATGACTATGATTGAAATCGATTGAAAAAAAAACTGGCAAAAAACTTCAAGAAAGCGATTTTTGCCAAAAAAACATTGCAAAAGCCCAAAATATCCGTAACAAAATTACCGGAACCTATTACCTTTGTCGTCTCAAGCAAGTATGATACCTCTACGCCATATGCGCGGATATTTGACAGAATTTGAAGCAGAAACCATGCATTCAAAAGAAAACTTAAAAATTTAGCGTATAAAAAATTGTGTTGAAAAACGCGTGTAAAAACCATTTCATCCTGTTAGCTTCTTCGAATTGAAAAATCAACTAGCGTCTAACGCACCTCCTGTACTTCAAAGAGATTAGTGGGCATGAAAGTTACTTATACATAAAATATATATGAAAACAGCGAAATGAATGCAACCATAATAAAGGGTGGGTGAATCAAACAACGCTTTTGGTGTAACAGTGGTCCAATTAAGTCGCACATGAGGTTAAGAAAAAATGTCCCTATAACTCATATCTTAAGGGTCAGGGAAACTACTTCTTGTCTTTTTGTACCTCAATCTTAGTATCAACTCGATACTTTGTGTTTCACGATGGTGTTCAATGACGTTTAGTTGACTATGATTTTGGGTCCTGAGCTCAAGTTTGTGTTTTTCTACTGTGAAAGAGGCAACAGTGCAGTCTAACGATTCAATTCTTCACTGACGATTAGTATTCTTTTTTCAATATCTATAATTCGGGTCATGGTCTATTTACATTCTGTTGTGTAATAAATACCAAGAAAACAACTTTTAAATATCAATTATGGCACCAGATTCTTAGTTAACATGGGTTGAAAATTCTTAACATCTAGCATAAATAAATTCAAAATTTAAATATTTGCGAAACTTATGGTTAAATAGTTTATCTTGTTTCATATTAGGTAATACGAGAATTCCAGTTTTGAACACATTCTCATTTGAGTTTTCCTTGTTTTAGTTGCATAACTAATCGGCTTGATCGGCATTGATTTGGCATGATCAAACATTTCAAACAGTTGATCTTATTGCATTTTATTCTGATGTTGCTTTTGGTATTTACAAATACTCGTCAACAAATCAAGATGTTAGAAGGTCAGTGTCCAAAACAACGTCACACTCCCCTGCTGAAAATTTCTGCCCTCCCAAGAGAAAACAGATACGCAATGATCCTGATTCACAGAGATATAGTCCACCAGAATATATATTGTTGTCCAGAATTAAAAATCGTCAGGCTGAAGTAGCCGTCATACATCTTCCTTCCAAAAGTATATGTTGTGGTGTCACCGTCTTCTCGTAATTGTAGTAAAAAATACTGATCGGTGGATATTACTTTGATAGGTTGAACAAGTCCAATTTCTTGCCACGTGAGCCACACAGGTCGTTCCAGAAACAATTATATAATGCTTCATATATTTTAATTTAACATACATTTTTGCTCGGGGTGAGTCTTATTAATTAAATTTCTTCTATTTTCGACATAGATCGATTTTAGGGGTTTGTCATTTTCGATGTAATTTTATTCAATTATGTTTTTTTCGAAGTTCTGAATGTTCAAGGTGCACGGCCTAGCACAGCCCCGACTGTCCAAGTACACGTTGCTTACACATAGTCTTCTTTAAACGTTTTGTTCGCTATATTGTTCTATGTTTGTTTGACAAGTGTTCAAGGTATGTACACTAGCAAGTGATTTCAGCCTTGACACTGCTGGTGTCATCTTCCCTCTGAATCTTTCTTCTTCATTCTTTGCTGTAGCCAGGATATTACGGCTACAAGAAAAACGTTTTCGCTCGTAATTGATCTCAGACGATGTATATAGGTGCGACTGCCTCGGAAAAATCAGCTAGCCGCATTATGTTTTTCTGCGTTTTCTTTTGCTTTTTTCTGACAAGATCCGAAAATTCTGAGTAAGCCACTTTCTGAGTTTCCAACAAGAATTCCACCTCTAAACAGGCCAATAGAAGCAACTCTAAGTGCAGCAATTGGTGTTCCTCTGCGTTGTCTGTTTGGTGGCAGCTGGTCCGGGTTCAGACGTTCTTTCGTTTCCGCGTGCAGTTGTTCGACTTCGAGTTTCGCCTTGTTCTTTTCTTGCTTCACTTGGTCCAATAACCAATCCACTTTGAAGAAGCCATCGTTCGAGTTGAAACCGGTCGAGAAAACCCAATTGCAAAATACAGATGGCTGAGTCCAGTAGCTGCTGAGTTTCTTCGACAGGATAGTATAGTCGTCAAGAATCGTCAGGTTGTATTTCGGGAAAGGAACAAGAAATTCTACGTTAATAAACTTTTCAGCTACAAGTATTTTCGTTTACTCGTTGA